ACAGAGATGGACGCAGGCGGGTGACACCTAGCCTGGGGAAGCCTCTGGTCACAATACTGGGGATTCATTAGAAAGATTTCCCTCATTTCCTTTCCTGGTGACAACAGTTTCACATTAATACAAATACCTGTTGATCATAAAAAAAATGTAAAGTTGTCCTGTCCACACTTCCTGTGTTATCTGAAGGAGCCTGATTAGCCCCCTTAGTTCTTATTTTAGCAGTACAGATCAAGTAGTGCTTATGTTGTAGAGAGGAGAAATGGGAACTTGATTCAGCAGTTCAGCAAAAGACAACAGGCAGGGCTGACACCACTTAGTCTACAAAAATGCTGTATGTTGTTGGCCTGCAACAGGACTTAGGAGCTGAGTGCATTTCTGACAGATCAACGGGTATTTTTCTATACTCACAGGGTCTTTAAAGCAATAATAAATAGTAACTTTGCATGTATTGCAGAGTTCTAGTGCATATGGGGTTTATTTGCCCTGTCATATGCTTTAACCCTTTTCTGCCCAGATGTCATTGACGTCTAGATGCCCAGGCAACATTTAGCAGCAATAACACGTGTTGCTTAACTGAGCAATAGCTCAATTGTGTGATAAAATCTGTGATAAACAAATATTTAAAATAAAGCTTTTGTGTCTGGAGTTCTGCTTTAGTTTTCCAATGGTGTATACTCTGGATGGAACACACTCGAACAATGCTATGTATTGGTTTTAATAATTGTTTGTGTACAATATCTCAATAAAATAAGGCTTTTTAGACAATTTTCTTTTTCATTGTGGAGTGGCACCTAAAAGGCCCCATTGAAAACTCTTGGTTCTTTACACGTTGGTGCTATATAAATACAGGAAATAAACAATGGTGGCACATGAGTGAATAAAGTCTGGGAAAACCTGCTGCAGCTGTTAGAAATGAGGCCGGTTTTGAGGAGTCCTGACTGCAGCTGAAACATGCATCGTGAATATGTATGTGGACTTGATATGGAATAAATATGAGTCACTCTTGAGAAGGGGGTGGCGGGGAGCCCCAGGCATGACCACGGAGCATTAATAAGATTTCCACAGATGTGTGTGTTCTCGCTGGCTCCCGCGCTCTCATTTTTATGTGGATCTGTTGAATTTTGCTCTCAGGAAAGTCAAATCTCAGGCAAAATAAAACACAGTCGAGCTCTGTGCAAGCTTTCCCACATACCACTGCCAATGTAAATTAGAGTGACTGTGACCCGCCTGCAACCTAGCTATTCCAGCGCTCCGACACCACTGATAATATGATATGGAAAAATACTAAGCCCGGGAATAAATGAAGAGCTGCTTTTATTTGCTTAAAATTATCATGTGGGGAACACTGGCAAAAGACCTGCGGTGTCCCAGTGATGGGTCATCCCAGGCAAGAGTTTGCTGGCGCTGCCCTAGGCAACAGAAGAAAATATGCCCAAATAAGCCATTCTGGGCAAATATGCCTTCATGTCAACTTCTGATAGTGGTGCATTTGTTGTGCATTCAATTCCATTGCATCTATCCTTTTCCCCATTTCATATTGTTTAGGTTTTTCAAAATTATCTCACTGCTATAGGTGATTGATACAAACATGGTGTCTTAGCAGGAAGACAAAATGGGGTCCCCAAAGGAGAAATTAAAGTGGGGGCCAATATGTTAAAATTCTGCACTGTGTGACAGAGGTCTCTTAAAGGAGAACTATGGGGTTAAGGCTTTTCCCCATAGTTTTCCTTAGGGTAACGGGAGGACACAAACTAGCGTCCTCCCGTCACCCTAGGCTCAGTATACCGTGAGCTGTAGCTTGCGGTATACTGAGACGCCGCAGTATACCGCGAGCTGCTGCTCGTGGTATACTGAGACGCCGCAGCTGAAGCGGATCCCGACAATTGTGCCGGGATCCACCCAGCTGCGTGACTGACAGCTGGCTCTGCCTATCTAGAGGCAGAGCCAGCTGTACCCGCCCCCTTCCCCGTCCGTTCCGCCAGTCAGCGCTGGCGGATCGGAGCGGGGAGGCGGGAATCCAGCCCCTCCCTGTCACGGCAGAGAGCCGTGACAGGATCGAGAGGTGAGCGAACGCCGGTATGTGTTCGCTCACCTCCCGATCTACTGAGCCGACCTGTGACAGTCTCATTGTCACAGGTCGGCTAGAACTATGAGGTGAGTGAAAAGGTGTTTGGGTCCTTAAATCCAGTTGTGGATGGACAACCTACAGGGGAGGCAAACCTGGTGTCAAACATGTGCCTACACATGAACAGTAAATACGGCTAGATAGGGCCACGGCCTACTTGCTGTATAGACTGCAAACAAAAAAACCTAAATCCTGGCAGCGTACAGACCAAAGGGAAGGTTTACGAACTGGTAGTGCCGTGTGCCCACCGAAAAACAAGGTAGCTTTGATGCGCTGGAAGAATGGTGGGGACATTAAAGTAAGCATCCTTGATGTCCACTGAAGCCAGATATTTTCCAGCCAGATGGAGGGAAGCAATGACTGACCTGGTGGATTCCATGTGGAATTTGTGCACTCAAAGACATGCCCACTTTTGCCCTGTGAATGGTGAACAGGTTATAATAGAAAATATGAAATCTTTCCTTTTCTGGAGCAATGACAATGAGTCCCTGAGAGAGGAGTTGTGCCAAAGCAGCGGGACGGAGGTGGAGATTGAAATTCTAGTTTGAAGCCCCTGGATGCCACATCCTTTACCCGTACATTTAAGGTGCTTTTCATTCCAGCAGTTCGTAAAGGCTATTAGATATCCCTCTACTCTGAGAAGTGGGGGGCATCCCCTGATTGTAAGGACTGGAAATGACTGGAGAGGGCTGGAAAGACTTGGGAGATTGAGGTTTGGATTGGGCTTGCTGGACTGACAAAAATGAAAGGAACTATTTGTAGCTTTAGAGATAGGAGGTTTTCCAGTCTGAGGCTTAGATTTCTTTTGATGGAGCAAAAGGGTTATCTTTCCTCCAGTGATATTCTTGATAAAGTTGTCCAAGGAGACACCAAAGAGACACTCACTATCAAAGGGTCTATGCAATAAGCATTTTTCTGCAGACCAAAATCTTAGCCAAAGAGTCCTGCACATGTGAACAGACTTGAGACACATTCTGGATATAAAACGGACAAGCCCATTAACACAGTAGTGTAGGGCGGTGATCTGGAGAACACCCTACGTCTACAAACATAGAAACAAGTACTAGAAGAAAGTGCCAATGCAGGACCCATTGAAATATTTTATATTCGTGACAAGTCTTCACCATGCTCTCAAGGGAGTCTTCAAGGACAGGATTACCTCAGCGGCTGTATCCGGGCCCTGGACCTGTAAAGTGTTCTGCAGGTAGGGCCGGTGCTGCCACTAGGCAAAGTAGGCACCTGCCTAGGGCACAGCCTCGATCACTCATCCCATATGGCACCCACATCTATTTCAAATTGCAAAAACCAATAGCAGGTTGGCTATTGCACCCACCTACTGAGCAGAGGAGCGGAACTGAGAGGCAACTTTTCGCTCTCAGGTCCGCTCCTCTGCTCAGTGGATGAGTTTTCAATAGCCAGTCTGCTATTGGCTACTTAAAATTAAATTACGTCCACCTGTAATCTGCGGAAGCTATCTTGCAGGAGAATGGGGCAGCCTGCAGGGAAACGGGGGGGCTGGGTGGTGCCGTAGCTGGTTTTGCCTATGGCGCAAAATAGTCTAGCACCGGCCCTGTCTGCAGGTTACTCTCACAGTAAACTGGGTATCTCGGGAGTAGTGCAAACAAAGTCCAGTGGCCAAATGTGTCGTTACAGGTAGGTCCTGTGTCTTCATCATGGTGGGGTTGTGGTACGGCTTCCAGGGCATCACCACAGATCAGCCGTTCCAGAATCTGCAATACAAGCCCTCACTGCTCTGCAGTCAACAAAGAAACTTGACTGAAGAAAAATGTCTTAATAAAGGACAAACAAATTAAATAGAAAAGGTGTCCATTTATCAAGGACACAAGCTAAAAACTGAAGCATGATGGGATTGAGAGGGATTATATTGTACCAGGCTGACTAACAGCATTTTTGTTTGTTAATTCTGCTGTAGGCAGCAGTATAGTCCATCACATATACTGTGCTGCTTAATGTTAATAACCCAGTGCTGTCTGCAAACATAAAGACACACTGAAGGGAATTTATCAAAACTGGAGGAGACAAAATCAGGAACAGTTGTGCATGACAACCAATCAGCTTCTCTCTTTCATTTTCAAATCTTAACTGAACAAACTGAAGAGAGAAGCTGATTGGTTGCCAGGCACAGCTGCTCCAGTTTTTCTCTGCAGTTTTGATAAATTCCCCCCAATGTATATTGCTAATGATGGCCATACGAAGATTCATTTTTCATTCAACTGACCTTTCTACTTCATCACTTTAATTTGCAGAAATGTAATTTGAAAAATTGCACACGGTAAATTCACCTAAATCAATCTCATAATGTCAGCATCCAAAAAATATTGGGAAAAGTAGAGCAACATTTAAAGTGCATCATAATTGATCAAATGCTCTCTATACCACACAATCGACTAAAAAAATATTGTTACTTTCCAATGTATTTTATTGCTTTCATGCAATTCAATCAATAAAGCAATCCGAACAACTCAATATGCTGTATGCATGTGCAACAGAAGTCTGACAGAACTACTACAGTAGAGAGGAGAAGTATGTTCTTGCAGTGCAAGTCACTCTGTGGAATCTGATTTCCCCAGCTCCTCAGGACTAATTCACAATGGTAGCTAATATACTGTATATTACTGTAAAAGCTGCTTTTGCTTAGAGGTTGCCAACTATTGGCTGCAAGTGCTAAATAAGAGCTATCAATATGCAATATTTCCCTGATGCACAAGGAATTTAAACATATTTTATTTGAATCCTGAAAGTTTTAACTAAAGCAAAAATACATAAAAATACATTCTCTTTACTGCATGTTATTTCTAACAAACTGCATCTAAACACTAGTGAAATGAACATATTTAATGTCTGTTCACATTACCTGTTGTGGATGTACATTTGGATACTGAAGTCCAGGCATTTTCTGATTTTGCTGCATCTTTGAAATGATCATCTTTTGTTGGAATCCTCCTGACCTTGGAATTGCTTGATTGGCAGTCAAGGAATTGACCTGCTGTATTTGCTCATGTTGCTGTAATGCGGTAGAATTCTGCTGATGTGAGAATGGTAACATCGGTTTACTCTGTTGCACCAAACCAGATGACGCCTGTTGGTTAGTTTGCTCAGAGCTGTAGTGGAACAGAGGTTTTGCAAGGCCATGGTGATGCTCTTCAGGCAAATGACTGGAGCTGACAGAGTTCTTGTTAGAATCTTGAGGTTTTATCATGTCAAGTGAGGCACTCTGGGCACTAGAGTTATTTTTATAGAGGTAGCTATTAAGTGTTTTTGGCTGATTTCCACTTACAGAGGCTCCACTCATTGAGGTACCATGAGGACTTAACTGTTGCTGCCGGAAAGGGCTGGGGACTTTCTCCATCCCATACTGTCTTGATGATTGTCCTGTGGCTGGGACATTTGACCAGCTTGCCGATGGATTAGTCTGTTGTTGCTGTATCAAGTTATGCTGCCGGTTGGCTGCTATCTGTTTCAACTGTTGGGCATGAGATAGCTCCTGCCAGTTGCTCAGGCGGTTTGAACAAGATGGCGATTGGGACTGGCCTTGACTGGAGAGAGTGGTAGGAGAAGATGTCAAAGGGGAACTAGACATGGAAAAAGTTGGCCCTGTCGATGAAGGCCTTATTTGTGGTGATCCAACTCGTGTATGATTCATACACTGTGTATATTCAGTTTTAATTACTTTGTCCAAAGGTGCAGATGTTGCTGTGTTTCTTTGATTATGTTGATCAATGTCTATGTTAAATGGTTCATCTTGCTTAATTGTTATATTTATCATATTCTGCAGCTCAAGATCACTCATTGGTGGCACAGAAATATATGTGAATTCACTGAACAATTCTTGGAGATCTGGATCCATAAGTTGCTCTCCAGAGTCATCTCCATACCTAAATGAGTTTTCATGAGATATCCGAGGGTCAAGGTTTTTGCCACATGATGAATTCTCTCCAGGTTCCTGTTTTATACCTTTTAACGTTGAGTTAAACAAATCATTAGCCTCGCAATTACTGCTTGCATTGCTGTTTTTTCTGTGTAAGGTTTGCTCCATTGGTAAAAGTCCATTAACGGATTGGTTTACTCCATCAATTCCATGATACATGTTCTGCCCGGCTGACAGGCGGTCATTGGTTCGAATTTTCTTGAAGTCGAGGAATGAATTATCCAAGACGCCATTTGGTCTCTTGCTGTTGGTTGGAGATACATTTACCACCAATCTCCTCTTCAGTGAACCTTGAAGCTAACAAAGAACAAGACAAAAAGAATGTTAGCAAAGTGTAACTATAACATAATACATCAAGCAGCCAATGTACAACTGTAGTGTTTCTCAATCTTTGGTCCCTAGTGTACCATCAACATAAACTTTTACTATTTTAAGGAGTATTTCCTATCTGTAATCAATGGTCTTGGCCATCGGTTGCCATTGCTGCAGATCACCTTTTTAACCATGCTTACCTAGAGATGCTGCCTTGTAAATAAAATAATTATTGCAATATAATATATTGCTGAAAAGAATCTATTTTGTCCCCCCACAAAAAAACACATTAGGTTAGAAGTCCTTCAATGTATCTTTAATATAAAACTAGCATAAATCCCCAAATCTGTTATTTTATCTGCCTTTTGTAACAGCTGCAGTCACACTGGAAGAGGAAGTCAGTGCTCAGAGCCAACTGTTGCTCTGTACACTGCTGTCAGAAAACAAAATGAACAAAGTTATGGGCAGGGATAAAACAGTGGCCTCAATAGGGTGCTTCTGCTTTGTCCAACCACAGGGTGGGGCTAAGGTTGGTGACCCAGCTCTATTCTTAACCAGAGTAGTAAAAAAACTGAGGTCATCAATTTGGTTATGCTGCCTGACTGGTGCTTGGATCAGAAGACTGGCTAAGTAGAATTAAAAATTCTTGGTCAGGTTAAACATTTCCCATGCATTTATTTCAACTGTGTATTTGCCTCGAGCTTAGCTTTAACCCACCATTTCACGTCTGGTTACTTCTGGGAAAACTCACTCCATTTGGTGTCCTATATCATAGAGAACTTCATGACTGGCCTACTGACTTCTAAAGCCTTTCATCATCAGACACAAAAACTGACCATCTTTATAATCCAACTTAAAACCTTTAGAACTCAAGCCTTCTGACATGTAACTTCCACTCTCTTGAGCTCACTACTTGCTTAAATCAGAAAAGCATCATGTATTATGTATGTTAAAGTGGAACAACACCCTCCTATCCTTTACAGCTAAGGAAGGTGCCATCTTAGCCTCTATGTGGATTACAGTTACCATGGTGCTGCACATGTGATGAGCTATGACACCAGCCATTTGAGGACTTTAAAGTTTGGTTGAGAGCTGAAATAAGCACACTGACAACTCTGACAGTTGGTACGCCCTAAACGTAACTGTTTTGGGAGACATTAAATGGGTGGCTAAAGTTCCTCTTTAAAGTAACTGCTTTGCCCAAAGGAAACAGATTCTTGCTCCATTTTCTAACATGCTGGAAAATGACAACTGAAGTCTAGTGGGTTGCTCTGGGTATCCCAGTAACTTTTTATATTATACCCTCCATTAGAGTCTCTGTCCAGCTTGGATAATAATATTCATGAAGAAAGCAGCAGCCTCTGGAAATGAATTGTGCAGACTCTGTTGGCAATACATTCATCTATGAGAACTCAACTCGTAATCTGATATCAGCACTGCAAGATGAAAAATGCTCTCCGATGCCGTCATGGCAAGGAGGGAATTTGAGAAACTGAATGTGGCAAAAAGAATGAAAGCAGAGCTCTGCTCAGGTCTTGTAAGATGTAAGGTAGGTAGAGGTAGATGTAATTGAGGTAAATGTCAGGCTTAAGGTGATTGTAGTTGTGTTACTGCACTTGCAACAACACAATTGAGTACTGCCCAAGATTCTTTTTTAATATTTTGGTAATTTTTCAGGGGATGCTTTCGGGGATCTACCCCCTTCTAGGTACAAACAATACTGATTTGACCTAGAAGAAGAGGGTAGTCCAGATAATTAAAGTAAAGTATATAATTAAAGTATCACAAACAGTACTCAACTGTGTTGAGACAAATAGAAAAGAATCCCAGTTGTTTTCTCCTGGAGACATTTACTATATTTTATGTATTTCCCATCCTAACATCTATGGGCAGTGTCATATTGCGGCAGATTCCACTGACCACTTGAGTGATCCCACATTGAGCATATGAATATTTCATATTTACAAACTTCTGCCAGCAAGGGGAGTCTACGCCTGCCTAATTCTCTCTGAAGGTCCTTTTATTACAGCTGCTGAACAAAAATAGATAACCATGGAGAAGATTTAATCTAATCTAAATGACACACATGGTGGTTATATATTTGATTGATTTTTTTATATATTGGTTTATTTTTAAAATAGATTTGTTGAGTCCAGTAACCAGTTTTTTTTTCCGCTCCATGGTTATCATAGTATTTATACTTTGGACTCAAAAACGTGGTTTGCTATGAACCAAAATAGACCCTGGTGGCTGTGTGTCATTACTTTACCCCGGAATAAATGGTTATTTCTAGCATTTTCAATTTTCACAAACAATATAAGAGAATTAAAGCTCTGCAATCCAGAACGAAAATCCAGTGCTATGCAAAAATCTGCATTACTGAGCCATAGTTTTTGAATGCACTTATATATGTAATCTGAGTTTCCTCCTGTAGTATAGAATGAAGGCAGGCCCTTTGCCATCCCCATACACTAAAGTCACCACCAACCTTGCTCGCTTAGACTCATGTCTGAGTCATTTGCCAGTTTCTATCATTCAAAAATTCTGTGCCCACGCACAAAACTATACATCTGTCCAGAGACAGTGATGTGCAAAACTTCCTCCTGTAGGTTTTAATAAAGGCCTTTTGCCACCCCCATATGCTAAAATCCCTGCCATCTTTGCTTGTACTGCTCACCCTTCTTTCTCATAGCCTCATTTGTCCACAGTTGCTGTTATTCACAAATCTGTTTAGAGCTAGTGATCTGTAAAGTCCCTTGGGGGGAAGCCTGTATTTATTTATTACAGGTATTTATATAGCGCTGACAATTAACACATCATTTTACATAGGTGCACATTCACATCAGACCCTTCCCTCAAGGAGATTACCATCTAAGGTCCCTATCTCAGATGCATACAGGGCCAATTTAGACCAGAGCCAATTAACCTTCCAGCATGTCTTTGGAGTGTGGGAGGAAACCGGAGTACCCGGAGGTAACCTATGCAAGCACAGGAGAACATGCAAACCCGGGCCGAGATTCGAAGCGGTACCCTCAATGCTGCAGTGCAGAAGTACTGTAGTC